TAGGCCCGAAACGTCAGCCTCTCTGCTCCTATGATGCTGCTTGGCCTACTGTGTTCATCCAGCCCTGCACCTTGTTGTCTTGTTTTAAATAAACTATTTTTAACATTGTAAATGTTCCTTCTGCTATATGTACCTTTGAATAGGATCCTTTCTAATGCTAGACCCTCCAATGATATCAATTGCTATTGTGTTTTGAATTTTTATGCTAAATAATAAGTTTTGTGAGTTGATTTCATGTCCTCAATGAGCTAAATGTATTTCTTTTTGCCAAATATCTGGTTAAATGGTAGCAAGGCCCATTAGTCATAAAAGAAAATGATTGCTCTGTATACCAGCTACTAAAGTGTATCACATCTTGCCATATGCAGATGTAGATCCAGACTTCGGCTCTAAACCAATATATAGTTTTATTTACATAAGACAGGTGGGTGAGTATTAAACACCCAGGTTACCTCTAAACATCGGGATGTTAAAACGCAAAATCTGTGTCTTGTGCTGAGGAATATATCAGGGCCTCAGAATTTATCTAGCTGTTCCATTATATATTACAGAGCTTAATCTACAAAGCTCTGCTCTGACTGGGAAGTAGATAAACTACATCAATCCCAACAAAATCTGTAATTGGGCACCTCTGGTTACCAAACACCTGCCAAAGCAGACAGCAGTCTGGAAATAACACTATGCCCCTACCACCACCCTCAATCCCCTTTCCCAGCTTTGACACAGCTGTCAGTCAATCCCACAACCCCTGGCTGAGTCTAAATCTCTCTTTTCAATGTCAAAATGACTGACAGAAACTCAGGTACATGTATAATTGTAAAAGTTGTACATATTTAAATTAGAGAACGATGAAGCAAAAAATAACTGCACTTTTCATATCTGCATTAGATCAACAGCTATCCATGGAAGATTGCATGCCTGGCAGAGGAAAATGGGTGAAAAAGAAGTACATGCCTTTAGTCAAAGGTAAATAATGCCAAATATAACAACCAATCTGCTGACTTGAATATTGCAATTATCAACAAACTCTTTGAACACGGCATTTCCCTACTCAACGCCAATCAAAGAATAAGAGCAAATGAATGTCTTATGGTACCTACTTTGGAATAATTTGTTTTCCAACATTGTTGGAAATTAGCAGAGGAAGAGATACTTCTTGTAATGGATAGCTGCACTGAAACAGTAGGATAAACTGCCAACAATTTTCCGAACTGTAGGAGAAAGGCCATAATAGAAATTACAATTCATAACTTGTAGACAATTGCCCCACCTACGAACAACACACCACAGGTGGAGTCGATTACTGATTGCTGTAGGTGATCTGGAATTCATCACACAGTGAAAACGTTATAGCTTTCTCAGATAAAGTTTAATGAGAGACCATCCTTCACAAAGCAAACACAATGCTAATACCCGTCAATCCTTCTGTTGAGTCTCAATGAGAGAACAGTAACGGAGGATGACAAGGAACACAGGCAAGCGGCTATTAGGAATAACAATAAGAGGGAAGGTAATGGAAGACCAGGAAAAGAGAGAGAATTTTCCAAAAGCGAGGCAAAATTGCAGTGACCACAAAGGCTGACTTTATCACACCCTCTAGCAGTTAGTCACAGTGCCATCAACAAGAGAGGTGGGAGCTGGTTATTTGCTCGTCCTCAATATAAAGGCAATGAACTCAGCACAATGATACAAAAGGAAAGACAAAATTTAAAATAAAATTGAAAAAGGAATAAAAGGCAGAATAAAGGATCTTTTTGGAGGTGATTCTTGGCAGTTTTTACATGATCACTGAGCTATATCAGTATTGATATCTTTATGGAAGAGAGAACACGAATAATCATGTTATAATGTAGAGACTGGACATTACCACTGCTGAATGTCTAGGATTACCTGTGGCTTTGAAGCACCTGCTGTTTACAATCTGTCATGATCAAACACTCCTGCCTTCCAGCATCTGCTGTTCTATTTACACAGTTTATGCTTTTGGGAATGTGTGAAAACCTGGTTAGCAAAAGGGATACCTGACCCTGAGAGTCAGTGAATAATTCAGGCCAACTTGCTGCTGCATCTACTGCAGATTTCCCAACAAGTGGGAGCTGAAATATTTAAATGAACTTCATAATGCTCATTTGCCTCCTGAGGATGTGTAAAACCCTTCATTATTAGATAGTCTGAAAAAAAAATCAGGAATGTTGAAGAATGGATAATGTTAACATTTTCATGTTATTTCACTTTTTAAAAAGTGAAAGCTATTATCATGAAGATTTCCCTGCTTAAAAAATGACTCCAATCGCAGTCATTGACTGTAGAACATAATTGCAAGGAAAAGATAGCTAGAATATTTCACAATTTTTAGTGACCATATAACTGGAATGCAGCCTTTAGCAATATATGATTGTTGTTAACATCAGTCTGGAGTAAGATTTGTGATGACAGTGACTCAGATTTAATAACTGGAAACTGTTTATATTTTTGGATATATACCAAAACTGGTCATATTTTCAGATCTAATGAATCATTGCCATACCTCTTGAATGGCACTAGCTATTAGTTGAACTTTAGGAAATGCACAACTGTCCATTAAAAATTCGCTGATGGTGGCAATTTCTGGGTAGAAAGAGTAGCTTTGTATCTATTTTGATGCAACCATTTTTGCAGTTAGTTATCTCTGCACTTCAGTTTTTGTCTAACAATATGAAATTGTCAGTGTATACAAATGCTCTCAAAGTTGAATAAGCTCTATATTCAAAGCAGTTTAAATCTTAAAACATGGCTTAACCAAACAAGGCTAAGATATGTTTTTTTCAGAAAAGCTCCGTTAAACTAACATTAATTCGTCATTCCATTGAAACAATGGCTCTTAAAAGGTACACATTGGCTCAGGAATGAGTCAATACATTTCATCTTGAAGCACAGCATCAGCAATGTTCCCAAAGGAGACAGGTTTAAACATTTGAGAAGCCACACTTTTTTTGTGAATAATTACACATGGGTAATTGGGACATGGTGCACTTATAGTTATAGTTTTCTGTTTCAAAATATAGGAAATGACCTCTAATATTATCCACTTTCCAAACCTATTCCCCTGTCACTTATAGCTCAGAGCAGTGGGAATGAAGCTGAGCTGACACTTTCCCTGGGTCATGCACAGGCCATGCACTTCCATTTGCAGGTCAGACAACAGATGCCATGTGTGAAATGATTATTTGAAAGGTGGCTAAAAGGGAAAAGGTTAAATAGTGCACAATATAAATGTTGACAGAATAGTACCAACATTCAGAACAGACATTGTCATTCATAAATTGACAATTTGAAGTTTGTAAATTTGCTTGCGTTAAACTTTTATGTTAGTGACTGTCAATTGATATTAAATAGACAGTAATGCAAAAGTATATACAAATAGAATAACGCAATACTCAATACAACTATAACAAACTATGTGCTGTAGTTTTTCAAATAGTGTTCTTCAAAATAAGACAATATAATGAACTAACACTTTTGGGATTTCAGATTTGGGAAGTTCCATTATATTAATTACATGTGAAATACTAGTCACTTTCAGTAGACAGAAAATCCCTCTGTACGTACAAAAATGTAAGGGACTCCACAAGTTTAATGTTGGTGTGAAGCCAAAACTGCTTTCCACCAATTCTAAAGTAAAGGATAAAGTTTGGCTGCAGTGCTTTTGCCAATTTAGGGAGAAGTAAGCCATGGTGAGGAAGTGTGCAATTTTGCGATGTGCACGTCTGTCACAAATCAGGAGTGGTACAATAAAACTGTTACCTCAAAATCAGGTATTTAAGACCTGAACCAATTTGCCAGAAAAGCAAACTTCCTCCTCCTGTGATATCTCGTTGTCCCGATGCTACTGGTCCAGGTTCTGATGTCATATTTGGGATTCTGTTTTACTTTCCTGCAGCACTGAAACAGTACTCACCATTTTTATACAGTTGGACTATAATGGGAGAGCACAGCTCACCCACTGCTGGGAATGTAGCAACATTAGTTGGCCACCTCCCTGGCTCAGGTAGGCTCTAGGCAGGAGGAGTGCTCTCCAATTTCCTCAGCACTCATAAAATGCAATGGCAACATGAAGTTAACAGGTACTCCACACCCACCTTCCTTCACTATTTTACAGGTGCACCCCCACCGCGCTCCCCCCCCACCCCCAATCCAGCACCAGGGTGGTGGTAAAATCCATCCCAATATTGTCTACCAAATTACAATATGGATGGGAATACTTCAAATCATTCCCTACATATCAGTATCAAGAAAATACATATGAATGGCTACGCTAATCCAGTTTGGGGTCAGAGGAGCCACGATGCCTTAAAATAACTAGGTCAGAAATCAAATGATACCAGGTTATAGTCCAACAGGTTTGTTTGAAAACACAAGCTTTTGGAGTCTTACTCCTTCTTCAGGTGTTAGTGAGAGAGATGGTATCAGACACAGAATTTATAAGTAAAAGATCAAAGGATCATACCACTGATGAGGATGTACAAAACAAATCTAAGATGCTGTTAAATCTTTAATCAGTTACAAGGTTTTAATTGATTAATATGTATATGTAAATCCCTAAATTTCTTTGAAGTCACTGGTGTTGTTTGAATTCTGACCTTGTCCACCCGAGTCTAACACCGGCATCTCAACATTAAAACAATTAAGTATTGTGATTTATTTTTAACTCCGTGAACTTATAAGGCAACTGAGAGCCACCTTGAAAGGACATTGCTGAAATAAAGTGCAACCTATTACATTGTAATTTGTTGGGAACATTATATTTCAGTTAAGTTTTACATAGATTAAAGATTTTAGAACTGTTTGGTGATATGGTTGCACAATTGATCCCTTCATTGCACATTTCTCTGTTTGCAAAAGATCGAACTTGTGTTAATGTTTGAACTTCCTCAATAACTTTGAGGCACAGCCAGCGTTGTTTTGTAGGTTTGAGAACAATTGGACTTCATCAGAAATGTACATTTGAAAGAATCCTTCTTTTGTTCCATGGGGTAGAATTTATTGAAATGTTTAGAGTTTCAACACTGATGGAAATGGATTGTCAGCAACATGCACAATCGACTAATGGGACTTCCCTGGATTTTACATAAGTCAAGCCATCACTGAACTGTTGTTGGGCTTAATCAAGACGGCCACTTAACTCCAGCAGATGCTATCCCAATGAGGGCCTGGCAGCTCAACAGTGCCACCATGATTAACGGCCATTGCTGAAGAAGATAGATGCTGTACAGCCTACACTATACATGCTCAAGAAGCAAATAAAACATGTTTTTAAAATAAATTAATAACTAAGGGGAATCCCCTCTGTGCAAATTGGTGGCATTGTAGTGGCGCTCTCCTATCTGTAAATGAAGAAATACTTCATATGTGGCCACCATTGGAAGTTGCTTACACTCTGTCAGCAGCCTCCCTACCTTCCCAGTTGATCGGCTGGCAGGAAAATACCAACAGCCTCCTAAAATGGCCACTGATACCACTTGAATGTTTAGATATACCCCCCACCAACACATTGTGGCAGGAAGCTTGTTTGAAGCCAGTTCTGCCATCAGTAAGATTTTGCAGTGGGGAACATGGCTGGAGATCCGATCCTTCATAGCTCCCTGCAATTTAACTACCACACCCACCCTCCTCAAACCCCTGCCTGGTGCAGGCCTACTAAATCGTGTTTTTGGAACCTGTTGCACTGGAGGTGTAGTAGGTATTATAGAGTGCAGAGGATGAAATTAACAATAATATTCTTATTAATTGAGGCCTCATTTAACCATTATCCGTTGTGAACAATTCTGAGGGCAGCTTTGTCCAATTTTCCAGATTGTTTTGCTGATTATCCTTCTATACATTCATGACTTAAATTCAGAAACTCATTTTTATTTGATCCCTGTTACTGGAGGGCTAACATTGATGGAGAAATTTGGATTCTTCCTGATTGAAAGATGACTTAGGGA